CCAATTCATTTGGATTATGTATTCTCCAAACATCTTTTAATTCCATATCTTCTTTCATATCAAAAAAAGTCTGTGGTAGTCTAATTCTAGACTTTGCCAAGCTCTTTTTATCTAGTTTAGAATCAATTACTCCATTCCAGTCTCCCATAATTAAAATAGATCTATAGTCCCATTGCAATATTTTAGTATGTAACATCTTATAAAAATAATCCTGTTGTTGGTTGGGAGCATAAATTCCAATCAAAAAAATTTGACCATTTGCTGTGAGCAATTCAATTGCTACAAACCTACCATCTTGATCTGCTTCTATAACTTTCACTGTTAATTTTTTATTTACATAAATAACCACACCATTCTTTTTCTGCGAAGTTGAAGATATATAATGTGCTCCTAGTTTTAAGTTTATCAAATATTTTTGATCTTGAGTTGTGATATGCGTTTCTTGTAAACATATTATATCATTATTAAATTGTTTCAAATATGTAAATAATTTCTTCCTTTTCTGTGCTGAATTCAACCCATTGACATTCCAAGATAGACACTTAAAGGTCATCAGCCTCTTTCTGGAGCACAGAGCAAAATATTTGAAGTTCATCCGAGAGCTTCGATCTCGCTCCTCCCATAGCTCCACTCTCTTGTACGGTACTCTTAACTGCCTTCTTGTCTTGTCTTTCCTGTTGTTGTTGTTGCTTTTGTTTAAGTAGCTTGGATTGGGCTCTAGTTATACGTTGATCTTTAACTTCTGTCAACTGAATCAAATCCAAAATTGGAGAAGAATCCAACAAGGGCTCACTCAGAAAATCTCCTTCTGCACTTTGCACATTTTCTAATTCCTGCTTAGACTGTTCTTTCAATTGCCTCTCTTCACTCTCCTTAATCTCCAAAACTGTAGATGTACGTGGAGATGGTGTTCTTTCCTTAAGAATAGTACTGTAAAAGTGTTGTGCCTTCTCCACGGTATTCAACCGATATCCTTCTCCCTTATATCTAAAAATTATCCCAGCTGGTGCGTCCCACCGGAAGGGTATCTGTAAATTTCTCAATTCCTTAACAAGAAAACCAAATTCTTTTCTAGCTTTCAGCATTTTAGGAGGTAATTCTTTAAAAATTTCAAGTCGTGAGCCCCCCACTTGTACAGAAGTGTGAAAAGATTTTTGCAGGATATCATTTCTAATTTCTCTCTCAGTAAAGTATATGACCACATCTCTAGGCAATTGTCTTTGTCTGGCCACCCAAGAGTTCACTCTGTAAATTTTATCTATTTTATGAAATACCAAATCAGGATTAGCTTGTAAAATCTTAGCCAAGGCTTCAGAGCAAACCTGTCTCAAATCCTGTCTCTCCTCCTCTCGAATTCCCCGAAGCCGTATGGCAAATTCCATCGCCCGGAATTGTATCATAACAATCTCATCTTCAATTCTCTGCATTTTATTGTCAACTTCATCAATTTTATAATCATTGTCTTTCATCTTAACATTAACTTCTGATTTGAATTCTTCAACTTTAAAATCAACTTTCCCAATAAATTCTGCCAGGCCAGACGCCACTTCTGATATTTTTTTGGTCACCTTATTTTGATTCTGTTTCACCATGTCTTTAACTTCATTAATTTCCTGCATAAATTCCTGATGTGATTTTTGAAGTTTATCATCTATCTCCTGTTGACATTTTTGAAATTTGTCATCCAGAGTTTTAGAAATAAATTCTTTTAAATCTCCCACATCAAATTCTTTTTTCTGAGTTTGTAGCTGTTGAGCAGGGGGAAGTTGCATTTGATGTTTGTGTGTGGGGGATCCCCCCCCCTAATGCCTTCCCTTCCTGCTTCTTTGAAGCCATCCTGGCTCGTGATCTAGTTTTTCTAAAGAGGGAAGTTCCTTTTCCTTTCCCTCCTGCACAAAGACTTCTAAAAAAGTCCCCCAGATTTGATCAAACAAGGGTTAAAATAAAGCAAAGTCCAATATTGAAAAGGGAAAAAATTTCCCAGTTATTTCTCTTATAACAAGCAAGGCAGCTTAGTAGCAACTTGGAAACTTTGTAGCAAAACAAAGTAACTTCACCAATCCACACTCGCTGGCTCGTTAACTCTGAAGCTAGGCGCCATGTTTTTTCAAAGCACTTTCACTCATTCGCATTTTCTCAGATTGAAAAGTCAACAAAGTGCTAATACTTGCGTTTCCAAATTTCAGGATTCAGGTAGTTTCGCTGTTTATTAAAGCTGGTTCTTTCGCTTTAAGTTTCCTGCAGCCGGCTTGTTCTGCAGAAGCAGAATCGTCCCACGCCGCCCGGAGTCTCAGCAGGTTGGAAGGGAGCCGCGCCTGTTTCCTCCCCAGAAACGATTCCCTGGGGGGTTACAGGGGCTCGACCTGTGCCCTGCTATCTCTCCTCCAACAATCCTCAGGATTTTGAAGTTTTCGAGCCGCTTCTCGATCGCGAAGCAGCTCTACAGGCGGCGGGGCTGGCGGAGCTTCAAAGAGCGCCGCCGTCGCCGAAGACAAGGAAACCGGAAGAGTGAAGTCTTCTCTTGATTGTTGACTTCGACACACATACACCTACCTCCTGGAGAGTGTTCTTGATCTGGCCAACTGTTGTGAAGGGTGTTTTCTTCACCAGGGAAAGAATTATTCGGTCATCCACCACATTTGTTTTCCGTGGTCTCCCGGATCTTTTGGTGTTGCTGAGCTCACCGGTGCATTCCTTCTTTTTGAGAATGTTTCAAACAGTTGTTTTGGCTATGCCTAATGTTCTTGCTATCTCTCTGATGGGTTTGTTTTGTTTCTTCAGCCTAATGATGGCTTGCTTCACTGATAGTGACAGCTCTTTGGATCTCATCTTGAGAGTTGACAGCAACAGATTCCAAATGCAAATAGCACACTTGAAATGAACTCTGGGCCTTTTATCTGCACATTGTAATTGGGGTAATGAGGGAATATCACACACCTAGCCATGGAACAGCTGAGAAGCCAATTGTCCCATTACTTTTGGTCCCTTAACAAGTGGGAGGCACATATACAAACTGCTGTAAGTCCTACACCGTTCACCTGAGTTGGATGTACATACCCTCAAATTAAAGCTGACAGTCTGCAGTTAACGCACATTGTGTTTGTTTCATTCCAACTCCATTGTGGTGGTGTATAGAGCCAAAGATGTTAGAATTGTGTCGATGTCCCAATATTTCTGGACCTGACTGTAACTGCTGTGATTCAGTTGGTCCCAAACTTGTTGGCCTTGTTGGTCTTAGAAACTTTATTATTCCTGTAAGTGTTGTCCTACAATTGATTTGGGTTGGAATACTGTATATTGTAATTTGGGGTTAGAATACTATATATTGTAATTAAGCCTCAGTCATTGTGGCATAGCAGTGTACCCATGTGTTGATTTAGCAATAGCAATAGCGCTTAGACTTATATACCACTTCATAGTGCTTTACAGCCCTCTCTAGGCGATTTACAGAATCTCATCTGTTGACAAGGAGAGCTTAATCTTAATGGCTTCACAATCTTTAACATTAACTAACTTTATCCAGTATTGTTAAGGCCCATGCAAAAATTCCAGTTGGGAGATTTAATTCACTGGTAAGTCATTATTTTCCAAATTTTAATTATTAGTTTATATTTTTAAAATTCGTCTTGGATCTCTCCATCTTGCATCTAGTCCTTGATTGAAAATGTACCCTTTAGCCACCAAAAAGTAGCCAACCTCTCTTTTATGAGGTAGTAGATCAGGTATTCTCAAGTCTCCAAGAAGAAATCTTGGAAGTAGTGACATGGTTTGTGGATTCTGCTTGTTTTCTAAGAGCCATAAATCATTCTTAGATGGACTCAATAAAGGAGAATATTTGTAACTCAAGGTTGAAATAAAAGGTCCTTGGTACTCTCTGAGTTTTTTTTTCTTGCAGACATTTTATTACCCAAACTAGTAATATCATCAGTGCTAGTCAGTGCTAATGCCCTTGTCCTTCATGACTAATCTCCTTATGTGCTTCTAGACCTTCTGTTTCACACTTTCTATTTCAGAACTGACTTTTAAATAATACTCAAAATGGTAATAATTAGATTCATCCTGATTCAGTGTAGTCTGGTAAATCAGAATGATTTTTCCTCATCTTGAACCTGATATGGAAAATAGAAGTGAAATAGAGTATTGAGATGGGCAGAGAAATTGGGTAGAACAAACAGAGGTAAAAAAGATGCAAAATAAGTAAAGCTGAGATTGTCGGTGCCAAAATATTGTGTCCAAGTCCTTCATTATTAGATTAATACTGTAAACAAGTACAGTAGTTGCAATCTGGTATATTTTACAAACTTCTATTATTCGAGTCAATTTTGTATGAGGAGAAGCTCAAAGATGTAATTTATCAACTTACCACCGTTCCTTATTTGCTGCTTTAATTTGATACCAAGCCCATTTGCCTATGGTCTTTTGTATCACAATTTTCTTTTTCTGAAATTAGAAGCCTGACAAATAATGATTTATGCATGAGAAGTGAATTCTTACTTTTCAAAAATGTTTGCCAATATTTACAAGAGAACATATACAAAATATATTGAAATGCTCAAACGTTTTAACCAATTTAACCAAAATAATACAATTGATCTGAGTTAATTAATCATCAAATTTCATATTCCAACCATCTAAGCATTTATTACTACCACAGCATTAGTCTTACATGTACTGGTACATTTATTTTAAGATGTGAAAATATAGTAACATTTGCATGCAGACAATTTGAAAAGGTAAATGGCTGCTTTCTGAATTAATATTCAATTCTTAATAGCAGTCAGATTCTTTTTTCAAATATATCATTTTCTGAATTTTATTTTGTATAATTTTATGCTTGAGAAAGCACTGAAAGTATTCTGACAGGATATGTATTGTAGATAGAGTCATGTGTCAATAGCAAACTGATTACAGACTGAGAAATGAGACTTTAAACATTGTCTTTGGCTATTTACAATCAGTTGAATGAAAAATGCTATAATTCTACTTTTTGTTTTTTGAAGGAATGTCAACAACTCAAGTGCAAAGAATCCAGAATGTATACCGTTTGAAGACAAAAGACACGAAGATCCATCAGAATAATATGCTGAGGAAGGTCAACATTTTGTTTATAGATTAATCTTCTGAGATGAGAAGATTAATTAAGAAGATGCTAGAACAGAATTGAAAAATTCTTTTAGGATTTAGGGGTACACATTTTATCTCAAACCAAAAGCATGTTAATTTGACCCCAATATGTTGTGTGAATACAGCAGACTTAGACTTTTTGCAGACCAATTGGACTGAATTGTTACCTTTCGCTGAAGTGGTACACAATAATTTTGTGCATAGCAGCACTGGATTTACTCCCTTTCAGGTGGCTACCTGGGTAGAGTTGTGCCTATGCCAGAACTCCCTCAAGAGACCCACTCATAACTCTCATTGCTGAGTGGGTAGACACTTTGAAAGCCACATGGGTCATAGTGTGCAAGTGTTAGAGAAAGAGAGGGAAATGCAAAAGAGACAAGCAGATAAGAAGAGTGCCCCCAAAAGAGTTTAGAGTAGGAGACAAAGTGTATCAATCCACGAAGTTCCGAATCTGAGGCAGCCCTGCAAAAGTTGGGACCCAAGTACCATGTTTCCCCAAAAATAAGACTCTGTCTTATATTTTTTTGAACCCTGAAATAAGCGCTTGGCCTTATTGCCATGAGCTCAAAAGCCCAATTGGGCTTATTATCAGGGGATGTCTTATTTTGGGGAAAACAGGGTATATAGGGTCTATGTAGAATTATCAGTAAAGTTATACTCTTGGTAAAATAATGTCCCAGGAGGTCAAATCTTTGCTTGAAACACTTTGGAACTGGACCTTGCTGCTTCCTTGAAGTTTCATCACATTCTTATATATTGTTTTTTCACACTACCATCAGCCTTCAGAGCCTTTCATAGCAGTTATGCTCTCCAAACTCAAAGGATTCTCCTTGGTTTGATTCCAATTGCTGTACATTCACTTCCCTGCATCAATTTTAAAGCCTATCAACTTGAGTTTCCTTGTTAATCATAATTTAAGCAGCCATAATTGTTTTCAGCCCAGTACAATTTGACTGTGTGCAAAAATCCACCTATGGTTTACTCAATTAACTCAGTCTTTTAGTTTGACAGACATACCTTGCTTCAGGACTGTTTTGAATGAAAAGTGTTCTGGGTTGGGATAATAAATAAACCACAGAGATGGGTTTTGCACTTGGCTAAAATGTGTTGGCTGGTTTACAGTTTTGTGCAACATGCAAACACAGCCAGTAATAAAGCTAGGTTTCTGATCTATTTTCTTATATTATGAACTCATAATTATTAAGATTATAGCAATATAATAGGAAATATAAACAGTTAAATAAGAGTGCATCTCATTTGAACTAAAAGGGGAAAATTCATTTCAAAATTATTTCTTGAAAAACAAGTAATTGTACACTGTACCATAGGCAGTTTGCTAAATGTATCTTTAAAATAAATAAATAAATAAATAAATAAATAAATAAATAAATAAATAAATAAATGTTTTAGTATTGCATGAAAATAGCCTTATGTAACATCACAGATGAAAGTAAATCCCAGCATTTGAGCTGTAGGGGAGTATGGTAGTAGTACAGTAGTTAAAAGCCAGCTATAAATGTAGCAACACAGCTACATTTATAGTTGACTTTGAAGAACAGGTGGGCAGAAAATATGCCAACAAATAAGCACCAAGTCAGGGTTAAAAAAAAAAAGGAACATGTAATGCACACTACTGCACTTCAAGAAATGTGCTGATTATATTTTCTAGGCTTCTGCAGGTAAGCAACCAGAATGCTGTTGTTGCTGTCATGTTAAATAAACATTTTAGTCATTATTTAGCTCTTGCTGAGAATGATTCTTGACTCAGATCCAAATTATAGAAGATTGTTTCAGGAAAAAATGTGAAAAAAATAAGGTTCTGACACTGGCTTTAGATTGCATTAGAAGCATTAAGTAGCACACAGAACATCTTTATCAGTTGCATATTTACTTTAATCTTCCAGTTCATGCAAGGATGGGCATATATTTAAGTTCCCCTAAGCAAGAGAAAACAAAATGTTTCTTCAAAGTCCAACTTTGATTTCCACTCGGTGTCAAGGGAAATCCTGTAATTTTCATAAATCTGATATTTTTAATTATAGACAAATCACAGCATTTCAATACCTTCAAGATCTTCATGGCTGCTCTACCAAATACTACTGTAGTTTGAAGCATGTTTCTTTATTGTTGATGATTGATCAAAAAAGGCAAAAACTATCCACCACTTCATTATATTTGTGTCTGTTTCTAAGACTGGTGGTTCTACTGATTGTCATTAGTTTGGTCTTCTTCATATTTAATTTAAATCCCATTTTTTCACTGCATTCCTTGACTTTTATCAATACCTGCATTTTCAGCTATCAGGGTGGTGTCATCAACACAGCACAGATTATTAGCATTTCTTCCTCCAGTTTTAAAGCTACACTCATTACTTTCAATCCAACTTTCTTTTATATGTAATTAGCATATAAATTGAATAAATAAGGGGAGAGTTTAAAGCCCTGTCACATCTCTTTGCCATCCTAGAGCTAACATGTTTCGACATGTTTTATTCGTACTGGGGCTTCCTAACCTGTATATAAATTTCTCATAAGGAAGATTAGATATTCTGGGATTCCCATTTTTCAGAGCACACCACAAAGCTTGAAACAATTGATACAATTTAAGGTATTTCTACAATGAATGAAACACATAGAGAGTACTTTTTGGTATTCTTTGGCTTTCTCAATTATCCAACATGTGTCAGCAATAACGGCTCATGTTCATCAGCTTTTTCTAAAGCCAGCTTGACCAGCTGACATTTCTTTTTCTATGTAGGTTTCTAATCTGTGCTGGATGGTCCTAAGTATTATTTTACTAGCTTGTAAAATTAAAGCTATTTTATGATGATTAGCAGATTCTGTTAAATATCCTTTTTTGACTTTTGTCTGAAATGGTATAGAATTTCCTGCTTGAGCAGGGGTTTGGACTAGAAGATTTTCCAGGTTCTTTCCAATTCTGTTATTCTCTTATTCAGTACTGAAAAGTAGATTGACTTGTTCCAATCTATTGGCCACTGTGTTGTTTTCCAGATGTGGTGGCATAATTTGGTTAGAATCTTGATTGATTCTTTTTCTGTTGCCTGCCACATTTCAATGGCTATTGCCTTAGTTCCTGTACCCTTCCTACTAGGTAATGATCCGAGTGCTGATCTATCTTTGTCTTCTTAGACTACAGGGTTTTATAAGTAGAGAATCTCTGGTTATCCATCAGTGAGGTCCAGGACTCCAAAGCAATTCAGGATTTCTGACGCAAGTGAATGTTGAAGATTATATCGTGAAAACTGATTTCTTCTTCTTTAGCTTAATTTGGAACTTGAACTTGAGCAGTTTGTGATCTGTTCCACAGTCAGCACCTGGGCATGTCTTTGATGTAATAATTGAGCTTTTCTACTACCTTTTACCGGTAGTAATGATATAGTCAATTTGATTTCTATATATTGTACTCCATCTGGTGCAGCTGAACTGTTTTTTTTTCATTCTGATGAATAAATCCAATTGAAGAAGGAAAATTATAGTTCTTTGAGACTGTATAGATAGCTTTCCTGTGTTACTTCATGGATTTGACAGAAAGCACTTGAATACGAATTTGACCTAAATATTCCAATTTCAAAAGCTATCCTGTGGTTACTATTCCATTTTCCCCACATTAACATTTTGTACACATATAGAATGAGATAGAAGAAGCCATAGTTATACCATCATCCCAGTGTTTTCGATGTACTCAAGGTCCAAGCTTCTTGTGCTGCGAGATTCCCCCCTCTCGCAGGTCTGGCCCTCCATGTTATCGAGGGCCTACCTTGATGACGGGTTTTGGAACCCCGAGAGATGGCATGCGTAAAAGAGGGGATTAAGGGTTTTTTTTAAACACATTATTAACTAAAATTTTAAGGGGTTCAGGGATGACCAGAGTGGGAGTGGGGGAGAATCCACAAGGGTCAAGGCCAGGTCCAGCAGAGGGCAGTGGCAGTGGAGATGCAGGGTTGGATATCAGGGAGGGGGCAAGAGCTCAACCTTGTGAGGGCCGTGTGATCTGTACGGTGGGTGGGAGGGACAGATATGGTGGAAGCAGGGGGCCATATCATGTTATGGGAGTGCGCTCTCACTATCTTCGAGTGATCGCACACTCCGGTCCCCAAGGCTTTACTCGTTCCCCAGGTAGCACAGACTCTCAGGGCCTGGGCCTTCAGTTGTTGTTGTGCAACACCAGATCCATGGTAAATAAGGCCCCCCTCATTTATGATCTTATTCAGGAGGGGGGAGCGGATGTGGCAGGTATTACAGAGACCTGGTTGGGCCCAGAAGGGGGGGTGCCCCTGGTTGAAATGATCCGGATGGACTGATGGAGGGGAATCTTGAGAATGTTATCTGGGAGGGGTTTGACCCTGTGACTCCCGAGGATGTGGACAAGATTCTGGGGAGGCTTAGCGCTGCCACATGTTTATTGGATCCGTGTCCCTCCTGGTTGGTGCTGGCCTCCCGGGAGGTTACACGAGGCTGGCTCCAGGGGATTATTAATGCTTCTTTGAGTGAGGGTTACTTCCCCCCTCTTTGAAAGAGGCGGTGGTGAGGCCTCTCCTCAAGAAGCCTTCCCTGGACCCGGCTGTATTAGCGAATTATCACCCAATCTCCAACCTTCGCTTCGTTGCGAAGGTTGTTGAGAGTGTGGTGGTGTGACAACTTCCCCAGTACCTGGATGAAGCCAATTATCTAGACCCGTTCCAGTTGGGCTTCAGGCCAGGGCACAGCACTGAAATGGCATTGGTCGCATTGGTCAATGATCTCTGGAGGACTCGGGACAGGGCTTGCTCCTCTGTCCTGGTCCTATTAGATCTCTCAGCGGCTTTTGATACCATCGACCATGGTATCATGCTGCGACGATTGGAGGGGTTGGGAGTGGGGGGCACCATGTTGCGGTGGTTCTCCTCCTTCCTCTCCAACTGTGTGCAGTTTGTGTTGGCAGGGGGGCAGAGGTCGACCTCGAGGCGCCTTGTATGCGGGGTGCCGCAAGGGTCAGTCCTGTCACCCCTTCTGTTCAACATTTATGTGAAGCCGCTGGGCGAGATCATCCGTGTTTCGGGGTGAGATTCCATCAGTATGCTGATGATACTCAGCTGTACATCTCCACCCTGAACCACCCCAATGATGCCCTTGATGTGATG